TGCTGAAGCAGGCAAAGTCAAGAGGGAGGGAGCTAGGAACTTCAGCAGCCTCAATTTCAAAGGGTGAAGACAGAAGGGGGAGAGGGGAAGAAAAGAGCCGTGGGCCTGATTATAGCCGTGGGCTGGCTGCTTCCGGCCCATGGGCCTTAAGTTTGACACCTCTGAATTAAGGTTTCTCTGCTGGAGGTATGTGCCTGCTCCAGTCACCGCTGACAGTACTTAGTGGGACGGACTGAGGTTCTGATTCAGTCTGGGGCAGCTTCCTACGTTTCAAGTTCATAGGTTGATCCTCACTCTCTCTTTATATATTTGCTCTCTTGCAGTTGGTCAGAAAATTGGGGCGAGCAGGGCTACATGCGGTTGGTGCAGGGAGCTGGCAATCACTGTGGTGTAGACAACCAAGCAAGCTATCCTACCATGTAACCGCCTGAGAGGCCCGGATCCCTCCCATCGTCTTCTCGGCTTCAGAGTTTGTTAAGCTACAGCTTTTGAATTTGTCATTTGTTGTCGTCAAAAATCTTACTTCAGGTCTGGGCTTTTGCAGATGTTGGCACAAATCTGACTACGGCTGCATGTTTGGGAGAAGAGGGCACACCTTTGGGATACGGGTGCTCACTTTTTTCTTAAACCCATTTTGACTATAGCGGCTTAAAAACAAACACAGGGAATTCTCATTCCCCCCTCTCAAATAATGCACATTGTTTGACATAATCTAGAACGTTAGTTTTCCAGTCTGATAATAAAGAACATGATTTCTCAAGAAAACGGTCTGAGTTCTGCCTACCTTTCTCCTCTTAATTCCTTCATCAAGCACCAAGACAAACATTCAAGACACAAAATTTATTTTTTTCTCCACTTCACTGGTATGTTTTCTTTTTAATATGTATCTAGAGGAGAAACTAAACCAGGTGTGTGTTTATCTTGGGGGCGGGGAGGACAGTAGAAAGTGATTGTTGTCTCTGCTTGAAAGCCTAGCTCTGGAACTGAAGTGTGCAGGGAGGCGGGAGGCTGCCGTTGTTTAGTGAAGAGGCAAAGGCACTCTGCGCCTTCTCAGAAGTACTGTTTCCCCCATCGCTTTTTTTCCACCCCTACTCCTGAAATCAGACTCCCCTGGGTTGAGTCCTGGTGTGAAATCTAGATACAAAATAAAATTAAGAGGAAGTAGAACAGAGAAAGATGGCTTGCCTCTAGCAACGAGAGGGGAAACTGCGCGGTGGGGGGGGGAGATTCTTTTTTGTGGAAGTAGATTTTAGAGAGGAACAGTCCTTGGGTGCTCTGTGGTTGCAGAGATCAAAACAATGTCCAAAGAGACAGGTGCTGGGGGTTTGGGTCTCTTTGGGAGTTCGGCATCGCTCTGTAATCTCTGTAATTCCCCACTCCTCCAATTGCAGCTGCTGGTGTGACCTTGGGTCAGTCACAAGTTCTCTCAGAGCTGTTCTCTCAAGAGCGGTTTTTTTAGAGCTCTCTCAGCCCCACCGCCCTCACGGGGTGTCTGTTGTGGGGAGGGGGAGGGAAAGGAGTTTGTAAACCCCTCTGAGACTCCTTTGGGTAGTGAAGGGCAGGGTATAAATCCAATCTCTTCTCTCTTCTCTTCTTCTTCAGTATTTTCACTCACTGCTCAGGAGAAAAACTGGGGAAACGCCAGACTTTTCAATGCCCTGAAAGAGGCTTACCACCCACCTACCCCCTTTTCTTAGTTGTCTTCTTTGATGAAGACACTTGATGAATTTGACTGCTTGCATTCACTGCATGGTGACATTTGGGGTGGTCTCAGTAAGGGTTGCCCACTAAAGGGGAAAGGATATTGGAACAGACAGATGTGTATGGTGTTTGTTATGTGTCTGCTGTATGTATTGTCTTGCTCTCTCACGGCATCGTTCTGCACTTACGAAATTCCATTTTCTACATTCTTTAACACCTCCTGAGTCCACCCTGTCTTTCTCTGGCTGAGGGGAGCAGGCCGCCACAGAAAAGTCAGGAGTTGTGAGAGCCCCCCCCAAAAAAGATGCTGTTGTGTATGCTGACCACCACCAGGGGGCAGCGAACACCCCAGAGCTTGACTCTGGAGAACAATGGGGACAAGGCTCCTGGTCTCTCCACTGGGGGACCAATGGGACGTTGGCGGGAGGTTTAAACCCAACAACTGGACCAGCGCACAAAGGGGTGAGTCCCCAGGCTGTACATAGTTGCCCAGCCAGCCTTTAGTCTTTAGTCTTTGTTGTGTCCAGTGAACCATGCGGTCACCACCTCGGCCGCAGTGGTTCTAGTATGCGTTTAACCCACTACACAATAGATGCTCTGTTGAGTAGTGTCACTGTTGACAGCCAGTTTGGTGTAGTGGTTGGGAACGCAGACTCTAATCTGGGAGAACCGGGTTTGATTCCTCGCTCCTCAACATTCAGCTGCTGTTGTGACCTTGGGTCAGTCACAAGTTCATTCAGAGCTGTTCTCTCATGAGCAATTCTAGAAAGAGCTCTCTCAGCCCCACCTACCTCACAGGGTGTCTGTTGTGGGGAGGGGAAGGAGTTTGTAAGCCACTCAGAGACTCCTTCAGTTAGTGAAGGGTGAGGTATAAATCCAATCTCCTCCCCCTCCTCCCCTCCTCCTCCTCCTCCTCTTCTTCTTCTCTTTCTCCTTTTCCTTCTTCTCCATCTCCTTCCCCTTCCCTTTCCCCTCCTCCTCCTCCTCCTCCTCCTCCTTCTGCTATAAAAATCCCTGCCATTACTGTTCTGAATATTTCTGGGAACCCCCAAGGCTAAGTTCTTTCAGAGCTGTTCTCTCAAGGGCAGTTCTCAGAGAGCTCTCTCAGCCTCACCTACCTCACAGGGTGTCTGTTGTGGGGAGGGGAAGGGGAAGGGATTGTAAGCCGCTCTGAGACTCCTTTGGGTAGTGAAGGGCGGGGTATAAATCCAATCTCCTCCTCCTCCTCCTGCTATAAAAATCCCTGCCATTACTGTTCTGAATATTTCTGGGAACCCCCACGGCTAATCTGCAACCTTGGTCTGAAGCATGTCATGATGCTGATCCTTGTCGTTTCATGTGGTTCTCCCTCCCCTGGTTTCTCTTTCATGTTCTTTCTGCTCTTCCGTCTGCCTAACCACACGCCTGCTTCTCAGAAACCACCAGCTGGCTGCGCAGCAGTAGTGCTGTGGAGCACTGAGTTTGTGGTATAGTTCGTGACCGCGACGGCTGGTTCCCAAGCATGGACCTTTGCACAGAGAGGCAATTTCAAGCAATAGGGAGCAACCAACTGGGAGAGGCCACGGAACACCGTTAGAGTCCAGTGGCACCTTTAAGGCCAACAATGTGAAGACGGATGGTTAGACATTTGGAATCCCTACGAAAGCAAGTCCTCTATACTCTCTATGAAATGGCAAAATCTTAGAAGTATGACTAAATGGTACTTGACCCCTGTACAGTTATCTCGTATCACACACAACTCAAACTCACTATGCTGGAGGAACTGCCAAGAGAATGGCACCTACATCCACTGTTGGATGGATTTGTCCTATCATAGCACCCTTTTGGGATGAAATATTAGAGGGAGTTAGGTGTATATCTGGCCACACTATAAAAAAAGAACCCAGAATCTATACTCTTCAAACTTAGAAATGAAACAACATACCGTAGGTAATAAATATGTCTGAACTGGAGGTTGATGTGTCCTAATTCGTGAGAATCCCGTCCTTAGACCCCCCCCCCCATCCATCTCCTTGTCGTACTCCTTTTCCTATGCTAAACCAATCAGTTGTTCCATATCCGGTTCTAACTGTCGCTTCTTGGCCCTTATACAGGTTTCTCAAGAGACATGTGAGGTGGTCTGGTACTCCCATCTCTTTAAGGACCTGCCATAGTTTGTTGTGATCCACACAGTCAAAGGCTTTAGCATAGTCAATGAAGCAGAAGTAGATGTTTTTCTGGTACTCTCTTGCTTTCTCCATAATCCAGCGAATGTTGGCAATTTGATCTCTAGTTCCTCTACCTCTTCGAAACCCAGCTTGTACTTCTGGCAGTTCTCTATCCACGTACTGTTGAAGCCTAGCTTGTAGGATCTTGAGCATGACCTTGCTAGCGTGTGATATGAGTGCAATTGTGCGATAGTTTGAACATTCCTTGGCATTGCCCTTCTTTGGGATAGGAATGTATACTGACCTTTTCCAATCCTGTGGCCATGGGGTCGTGAAGAGTCGGACTCGACTGTGCGACTGAACAACAACAAAATCCATCTCCTTTCTAGCAAGGAGGCAAACCTCACAGCATCTTGGCTGTGCAGAGTTTTTCCCTTGTCCCCCAAAACAGAGAACTACATTTAAATCTACCATTCCAAATTACATTGCACATTCAATTACATTCTTAATTGTTAAGAGCAATAATAATATTTTGCTTCATTGAAACATGGAGTTCGCCATGGTTCATCGGTAAAGTGTCTGCAGACGGTCCCAGGTTCAGTCCTGGGCATCTCCAGTTAAAAGGGTCAAGGAGCAGGTGATGTGGAAGACCTTGGCCAAAGAAACTGGACGAGGTGCTGCCCACCAGAAGGGACAAGACCAGGGGTCATTTCCTGCAGGAGCGCACAGGAGCGGAGCTCCAGCAGTAAAGAGCCCAGGGGGCGGGCACATGCAATAAGCCCCACCCCCTGCTCCCAGCAGCCCTCAGTCAGAGCAAGAAGCAGCCA